TATTCAAAAGTCTCTGGATTCCTGGATTTCTTAATTTAGACAAAACAAAACAAAAACTCCAAATCTTCTGGCAATAACTTTGAAACACTAACGAGCAAGCCAAGGTTCCTGAATATTTCACCAAAAATAGCCAGCTCACTGAGGCACATTCATCCCACTCCTACTTCTCAGTGCCTCCTATTGCCTACCCTCTACTATCCACCCTACCCCCACCATATACCCCACTCCACACACATTAAAAAAAATTCAAATTCCCTCACTATTAACTTGTCTATATATTCCATATTCTAAGAAATCGTACATGGGGATAAATGATTGATAACTTCTGTGCAGAAGTATTTGCTTATTATATCAAATGAATCCAAAATGAAAATTTCAGAAAGTAGAGGAAGATATTTTTTGTTTATATTTCTTTTAATTCAAACTTATAGTACTGTACTGGTCAACTAAGGTCTACATTTTTGTACCACATAATAAAAACACATTAAGAAAAAAAAGGAACTAGGAGTTCTCAGGACTTCAAAATAGCTTTCTGCTTTGCCTGATTCCCTCTTCACTTTTCTCCCTACTCCCATCTTTTTCCCAATTTCAAATAAAAGATGAGATAAAGAGCTTCCTAAACTCATGTCTATTAACTTTTTTAATATTTTGATAACTTTATTTCAATATAATTGGTTACCTTTGTAATCCTCTGTCTTTTATGCATTTAAGAACATTGCTCTGAGAAGGGGTCCACAGGCTTCCCCAAACTGCCAAAAGAGTCCTTGACCGAAAAAGCTAAGAAGCTTTGGGCTAAAGATTGCAAATAACTATTTTACTCTCTGGGGTTAATGGAATAAACTGAACAGTTTTGGAGTTAAGGAGAGCTTCCTAGAGAGGATTTAGAGGATCAAGGAGCTTTGAGAGGGCTGCTTTCTTGCTTTCCCCAGGTTCCTTCTTTCCTTCCTTACATCTAACCAAAGAAATACTTGATTTGGCTATGTAAAAGTAATACTAATTGTGGAACATATTAGATCAGCAAGACCCAGCAGTAACAGAACAGGTAGCCTAGTGTTCCATAAACACAAAAACACAAATTACTGGTGGAAGAGCTCCCTATATGGGGGCAGCAGCTAGATGACACAGTTGATAGAGCTCCTGCCTTGGAGTCAGTAGGACCTGAGTTCAAATACAGCCCTAGACACTTGACACTTACTAGCTGTGTGACCCTGGGCAAGTCACTTAACTCCAAATGTCTCACCAAAAAAGCAAAAAAAAAAAAAAAGCTCCCTATATGATAAGATTTGCTGGGAACCTGGAAAGCAGATCAGGATGATCTGAGTTCAAATCCAGTCTCAGACACTAGCTGTGTGACTGTGCAAGTCACTTAATCCCTATTTGCCTCAGTTCTTCATCTGTAAAATGGAGACACACTAGAGAAGGAAATGGCAAATCACTGCAGTATCTGTCAAAAAACCCCATGGAAACAAGATTGAACTACTGAACAACAGTAAAAGAAAAGTATCTGAAAGAAAGATCAAGTATCTGAAATGGTATATACTGATAAGCTCCAATGAAAATACACTTTTATAGCCTACATAAAAAAGGGTTGCATCATAAAGATAGGAGAATGAAACTAGCTACAACTATGGCTAGAGGAAGAATTCTTAACCAGATAAGGGATCTAGGTAAAATAGACAATGGAGGGGACTGAACTGGTAGTTTTAGGGAAGTCTCATTAAGGAAACTCCCACTATCACTGCAGGGCTGTACCTTCTCTGTAATTTATAATATTAAAGAGTTCCTGGGGGACACTAAGAAGTTAAATGCTTTCCCTAGGGTCACAAAGCCTGTCAAAAGTAGGACTTGAACCCAGATCTTCCTGAATCTATGGCCAATTCTTAATCCACTGTGCCATATTGGTAGGATTACATTAAATTTAAAGTTTTTGTACAAATGAAACCAATGCAGCTATGATGAGAAGAGGAAATGTCAAGTGTGTTTGTGTGTGTGTATGTGTGTGTAAATATTTGTATCGAGTATCTAATAAAAGTTTGCTAAGATATATGGGGAATTGACTCAAATACAGGATCTCCAAATCTTAGCTATTAAGGCTTAAAACCACACTAAGACTTTGGGAATATCCTGTAAATGTCTTTGAACCATTCCCCAATAGAAAAGTAACTAAAGGAAATGGATACCTTATTTCACTGCACAATCATCGCAACCCTTGTTTTTCCAGTCCAAAATTGGTTTGTAACCTTTCATCGCGTAATTGTCACATGGTATAATTCTGTTCATCATGCTGCTTGAAAGGTAAACAGAGCAGCAATATATTCACCAGTAGCATATGGATACTCATTTATCTCTCCCGCATTGCAAGCTGCAAGCCTAGAATTCTCAGCCAATGTGCATTGGCTGTATATTTCCAGAAGCCAACTTGTGTGGTTTGTTTAGAGCACTGCAGTACTACTGCTATTGTCAGTCAACCCAATGAAGAGTGAAGCTGCCATGAGTTCGTCATGTGATATGGTAAGATTGGCATCTTCCCGAGCTAGCTAAACTGTACAATTCATCTGCCAGCAATACATTAAGGTGTGAAGCATTTTTTTCTGATTATGGGTAAATATAAAAGCTATTCTGCAGGCTTCAAGCTGAAAGTGATTGTGTTCAATGAACAGCATGGAAACAGAGCTGCAGAAAGACAGTTTTCAGTGAGTGAAAATTGGTGCAAGACTGGCCGAAACTAAAAGACAAGTAATACCAGCACAATTTTAAAAAAAAAAAGCTTCACATAATGGTTGCACCCCACTTTTTTTGCAAAAGATTGACATAAAATCTGTGATGATTATGCAGTAAAATATGGTAGTTTTCAAAAAAATGAATCAACAACCATTAGCAAAAATTTTCCAAATCACTTATAATAAGGGAAATAAAAATTAAAACAATCCTGAGATTTCACCTCAAATCCATCAAATTGGCAAAACTGATAAAAGATGGATATTGGAGGGATTTAGAAAGACATATTATCAACAAATATTTGTAAGTGCTGTAAATTACCATTAACAAGAAAAATGCAAATTAAAACAACTTTGAGATTTCACCTCACAGGCATCAATTTAGCAAAGATGGTAAAAGATACAAATAATCCATGTAGGAGTGACTATGAGAAGACTTGGTAAACTTGGTGGAGCTGGGAATTGGTACAGTCTTTCTAGAAAGCAATTGGAAATATGAGAGAAAAGTCACTAAACTATTCTTACTTTCTGACCTAGAGATCCCACCACTGAGCATATATGCCAGGGAGATCAAAGTTCGTCAGTGATTTTATAAAGCACTTACTGCATATCAGGCACAGTAATCAATGGCGATAGAAAGGCAAAAGACAATCCCTGCTCTCAAGATGTCCACAGTCTAATGGGGAGACAGATGCCCTATAAAGAAAAATATTCCCGGAAGCACGTCTTGTGTCAGCAAAAGAATTGGAAACATTGAATGGCTCAACAAAATGAGGAGAAACACGGGACGACTAGTCTGCACACACATACAGCAAAATAAACAGAACTAGTAGAGCAATATATACAATGATTGTAAGGTAAGTGAAAAGACCACTAAAAGGCAACTGAATTCTGATTAAATGTAATGAAAAATCTTGGTTCTAGAGAACAGATGGTGAAACACATTTTTCTCCTCTCAGGAGAGAAAAGGGGAACTATAGCTCTGGAATGTAGCATATGTTGTTAGATGTGGTAATTTTGTAGGTCATTTTTACTTGTTTTTCTTTATTACAAAAGAGGATTTAACGAATGGGGGTGGGGAAGGGAGAGAGAGAGAGCAAATCAATAAATCAATAAATCAACCAACAAACTGACTACTAAGTTCTTAAGATACAAAGACAGAAAAAAATCCTTGTCCTGAAGGAACTTATATTCTAATCAATGGAGGGGGGTAGGGTAGGGCAGAGACAAAGAGAGAGAGATGTTCTCTTAAGCACTTACTGTGTGCCATGCACTGTGCTAAGTGCTAAGGATACAAATAAAAGCATGCAAGTCATTCCTTGCCCTCAAGCTTACAATTTAGTTGGGGAAAACAACATATAAAGCGGAACTGAAAAGGGGAGGTACCCACATAGTAGAATGGGGTGGAGATGCCCAGGAAGTAGTTCCAGGCAAGATAAGAAAAAAAGTTTACCTATCAGAGTTAGGAAATCCAAGGGTAGAGTCCAAAGTTGTAGTTGTGGGGGAGATGATGACGATGGCTAAAATATAGGCAACATAGTGAAGAGATGGTCAGAACAGGTCATGAAGACTTAAGAGCTGGGGGCCCCAGGACAGATTTCAAGTTGTGGTTAGAGTGGGAAAGGAGAAGGAAGATAGTCCTTCATTCTCGAAGAGGCCAACCACATGATGTTAAGAGAGCTAGAGAAAGGCTCCTTGCTGATTAAGAGGACTGACCCAGTCCGCAGGATTTATGATATAATACGGAATCAAGTTGTACAGAATAAGAAAGTATAAATGGTTTGCCCTGTGTATCACTGGATGGATTTCTGACTGGTGAGCTAATGGATCTATTGAAAGCATCCAAGAAGAATGATTTCTCTGTTTTTCAGAAGCTCATTCTGAGAAAATTATTGTGATGTCTTAAAAAAAAAATGCATAGGGCAGGTAGGTGGCGCAGTGGATAGAGCACCGGCCCTGAAGTCAGGAGGACCTGAGTTCAAATCCAGTCTCAGACCAAACACTTGACACTTACTAGCTGTGTGACCCTGGGCAAGTCACTTAATTGATTGCCTAACAAATGATTGCCTAAAAAAAAAAGCATCAATAAATATACATTTAGAAAGTAATACAAATTACAATTATTTAGTGAACTGCTTATTATCTATACCTGACTCCTGTCATGCTAAGTCATAGATAACAATTATGAGACATGAGGATTTGGACAAAACAATGCAAAAACTGCTTCCTTTACCAAGAGGGGCTTTATCCCATTCCAAGGTCCATATTTATTCAAATCTGTCAATGGAAAGCTCAAACCAAGGCTGGGACATGAATTAGGTACACAAGTTTCTATGAGTGACCCTCATCCATATCCTTCCAAATAAATAAGAAAATACAATTTTCTATGTACTCTTTTTAAGTAATGGATTTGACATCATTTATGTTATTCCTGCCCTTGTAGCATTACTGAGAGTGAAAGACAGCAGGTCCATCCTGAGAATAGATTTTCCTGGTTCACTTTTAGGTCTCATATGTAGAACAATAGAAAGGTTGTCAAGACAATTGAGAAGGCCATTGGGAGATTTGTTGTTTGGTTATGTATGAACCTTGAAACCAGAGATTGGCTTCTTCCATCAAAACATTTTTTATCTGTAATGTATGCTAGGGGGCACTGTGCTGCAACCTTTCCATATCTATTCCTTTAAATTCCTATTAGTGATTTTATTCCTTCAGATTTACCTTAATTGTATGTGTAAGGATTTTTAGGCTGATGTTTTGTCCCAAGTAGATTCACAGCAATGAAAGTAGTCTCATGTGAAAGTTGGCTGTCTCACATGAAGGCCTGCTTATCCTTTACCTCTTTACTGACAGTGAATATGACAACTTTTCTGACAGAGGATGGGAGATTATTAAAACTGAATAACTGTAGATGGTATCCATCCACACTTACATACTCCCAGTAAACAATTACTTGTGGCTTCCACCCTGGAACCTGAGAGGACTCTGGCTGCTTTAAAGCATATTGAAGCATATTGAAGAGCTTAACCTGGGATTGTTGTGTACAATGACTTAGCTTCTGTCTTGAAGCATAAAAAACAATGGGCCTTGAACTGAAGTTTGCTGTGTCTTGACCATCTCTGGGGCCTCAAACATTTGTTATAATAACCTCCTTGATCACCCTCATGCTTTACCTAATCTTTCTGTTTCTATTCTGTAGGGAAGGCCAAGACATTTGGTGACCTTGTGGGATTATTGAAGTGTACTCAGTGAGACCATCAGTGGTATGGCAGAGATTTAAATTTCACAAATGGAATGAACAGCCTGCTAGGGGCATTGCTATTTATATTGCAGAGCAGCATCATTTTTCTCAACATTGCAATCTGGGAAAATTCTTAGACAACAAGCTGGGGGATCATATTTACCAAATGCCTGATGAAGCCCTCGATGGCACTTCTTAGGTAAATCATATTTATAATTTCTAATAACCAAAGAAAAGGCTCCATTGCTACCTTTTACTGAAGCTAAAGGAACAGCTGCTAATATAAGTGCTATTCATACCATGGAGACAGACATTTCTCACCAATGGGATGATAAGAACACAAGTAGTGGATGTTCTGTAATATCAGCAGATCAACTTTTGGCAGGTTAGGCTGATGCTCTAATCGTAGGCTCTAAGATGTGGAATGCAGATGCTACAAATAGAAGGACACCTTGAACAGGTATGCCATTCAGAATTCACAGGAGTAAAGCCCAGAAACTGTCATAGCTGTTCAAATCACTTGGAATCAAATGATCTTGACTATATACATAATCAGTGAATCTCAGAATTCTATCATATTCACTGGGTCAATGGCAATATTCTCTCTGATTGGCCATGAGCACAAAATGGAAGTTGACTCTGATTGTGGTACATGAATAATCAGTAAAGATACCTTCCATAATATTTCCACATAAATCTCATTGGAAAAGTTGATACCCTCACTCATTCTTTTAAAAAATACATTGTTGTTTATATTCTTGTTTTTACGTCACCCATATTTCCTATTGTGTCCCTTCTCTACCATCTCTCAGAGAGTCATCCCTTATAATAAAAAAAGAAAAAAAAAAGTTCGGCAAAACTAATATATCCCAAAAATCTATACTTATGGTTCCCCACCTTTGCCTAGAATCTGGAGGAAGTGTCTTCTCATATATCTCCTTTGGGGCCAATTTAATTATTAAAATTTCCATTCATTCTTTAAAATTTTTTTTTTATGTTTTTGTTTTTTTTATGCCACAGTTGCTTCTAAGTGTAACATTCTTAAGTGACCCCTATTAGAAGCCTGCTCTGGAACAAAGAAAAATAATTCAGTAAAACTGACCAATACAGTAATCATATAAGACAGTATGTGCTTCATATTTTGTACCCACAGACCCTTTTCCTTAATAAAATGAGGGAAGAGTGTCTCAGCATCTCTTCCCTAGGACCATGATTGTTCCTCATATTTCATCTGAGTTCAGCTGTGTTTCAGTGCTGTTTCTCTTTACATTATTATAGCCGTCGTTGATATTGTTCTCCTGATTCTGTTTACTTTGTTCTCTCTTCCCGTGTTTCTCTGAATTCCTCATTTTTATTGTTTTCTATGGTCAACAATATTCCATTACATTCATAAACCACAATCCATTCAGTCATTTTCTAATCGATGGGCACCCACTTTGCTTCTAGTCTTTCACTACCACAAAAAGTCCTGCTAACATAAAATTTAAAAAGCTTTTTATGATTAAAATCAATGAATATAGGATTAGGAGAGGAATTAGAGATTTAAACCATTTGCATCAAATATCACAAATAAACGTCTGATGGACTAGCTATATGGATGGAGAATTAATGAAATACATAATATCCAACTTTCCCTAATAGATAAGTGATCAAAAGACATGAAAAAATAGTATTAAAAAGAATTGCAGAATATAAATGACAATGTGGAAATATGTTCCAAATCGCTAATAACAGTAAGACAAATTTAAATTTAAAGCTTTTATCTCATACCATGCAAATTAGCCAAGATGGCAAAAAATGGAAGTGGTCAATGTTGGACAAGATGTGGGAAGACTGACAGAGGAGTCTATTGTTGGTGAGACAGTAAATTTGTCCAGCTATTCTCTTTGACAAATTGGGATTATACAATACAAATGACCAAACTGTCCAGACCTATTAATTTAAGATCCCACTATGAGGCTTGTGACCCAGAAAAGTAAAAGACAGAAAAATATATGAAATGCTCAAATCTTCATAGCAGAACTCTATGGTGGTAAAGCACTATAAGCAAAGTGGGTGCCCATCATTTGGAGAATGGCTGAAAACAATATGGCATACAAATGTGATAAAGTATTTTTGAGCTATAAGATATGAATGTAAGGAATTCAGAGAAACACAGAAAGATTTGTATGAAATAAGCAGAACTAAAAGAACAATATATATAGAATTGTGTAACTAAAAAGATCACTAAAAGGAAGTAAACTTTGAGTAACTGAGAAAAAAATCAATGCAGCAGATAGGCAATAAGATGTAGTGGATAGAGAGGTGCCCTGTACTTCAGGAAGACCTTGGTTTAAGTCCTGCCCCTAAAACATACTGGCTTTATGACCCTGGGTAAGTCATTTAGATCCCTAGGCAACCAAGACCATAAGTTGTACTTCAGGTGCCAGTCTGCAGTGGTGGCGGGATTCCCCTCATTGAGAGTCTTCTTTATTAAGGAAATCACATCTGATCCAAGAACACCAGTAACAATAACAAACCAATGAAGACTCTGGAGAGTAGATAATGAAAGTGTCTCCCTCCTTAAGGCCGTGAGACGGGACTAATTGGACAGAATGTTGCACACATTGTCAGATGTGATCACTGTATCAGATGGTTTTTGCTTATTTGTTACTATCACAAGGGAGAATCCAATCTCTAGTGAGGAGAGATTTCTCCACCCCTCCCAGAAATGACTGATAAAAAGACCAAATGCATCAAGTAAATGTGTTGTTTAATTGCGGTTACAAATATTTTGATTTATAAGGTAACTTTTTTTCTATCCTTAACCTCCTTGAGGTATATTCCCAGTGTTGGGGGATTGCTTGGCCCAAGGGCATGGTTAGTTCAGAGACTTTTCTTGCACAATTCCAAAATGTCCTACAGTACAGCTGGACCAGTTCACAACATCACCAATACCATACCAGTATGTCTGACTCCCCACAGCCCTTTCAACATCAACTATTTTCATCTTTTATTGTTTTTGCTAAGTGGATGGGTGGGATGTGAAATCTCAAAGTCTTTTTTAATTTGCATTTTAAAAGTATTATTCATTTGAAGCATTAAAAACAATATTTGTTAATAGTCCACATTTCTTCTCCTTAAAACTGCCCACATCCCTTAACCACCCCTCTCTTCCACTATGCATCTTTTTTTTTTTTTGTCTAGGCAATGGGGTTAAGTGACCTCCCCAGGGTCACACAGACAGCTAGAGAATGTTTTTTGTGTGTGTGTCTGAGGTTGTATTTAAACTCAGATCCTCCTGAGTACAGGGCCGGTGCTCTATCCACTGTGCCACCTAGCTGCCCCCTCACTATGCATCTTTCAAGATTGTAATGATTCAATATGCTAGCTGGAAGCTATGGTGGGAATGCACAGTATGGTGGCTCCTTTATGAAAATCTTTTGTTGTCATCCCAAGGGAATGTTGCAATAGCCTCTTAGGACAAACTAGTTTATACCACAAGTAATCAGCATCCAAACCATTCATATCATTAACACAGTCTGACTACAGGAAGCTGTTAACAGATTTGCCAATGTTGCCAAGGAATTCCATGGTTGGGGAAGGAAAGCAACAGGCTCCCTCCCATTCTGAGGCTGACTTCAGGTAGCAGGGAGAAATAGGGAGAGACAGAGTTTGTAGGCTGGTGTTTCTTAGTCTGGATCATTCTCTTAGTATTGTAGAGCCAATAGCTCTGTTTTGGGAAAGTAAAGGTCATAGGATTATAGAGTTAGAAATAGAAGGAACCTCAGAGGCTGCTTTGGTCCAACTCCCATATTCTGCAGATGAAGACACTGAGGCTCAGTTAATGACTTGACCAAGGTCACATAGGTACGAAGTAAAGGAGATAAGATTTGAATCAAGGTCTTCTTAGTCTAAGTACAGTGTACTTTCCACTGTACATTGATAGTAGGTTAGAACAGTGCAGCCCACGGGCACTGCTGTTCCTGGGTGGCTTTCCCTGTGTGTCTCTTTATTCCCCTGTATTGTGTTTGTTATGTTGGAAGTCTTGAGGGCCAGCCTATGCTTCCAAGCTGAGGTCCTGGGCACAGAGAGCACGGAATGCTTGGGAAAGGATGACCGTGTCACAAGGTCATTAACAGCTGTGTATAAGACAAAACCTTCTGAGCCCTTCTCTCTCAGGTGGACCTGTGTCAAAACCTATGAGACCTATAACATGAGCATCATGGAGGTTATTATGACAGGTCTAATGGAGATAATACAAAGATTGAGTGAACAGCTGCAGAAGCATCAGGGGGTGGCTGGTCAGTTTATGGCACAACAGGAGTGACCTATACAGGTGATTAGGCAGTACCACTAGCAAGGCTCACAGCTGCTTCAGTGTTACCTCTGGCTGGGCCCTTCTTTGTTTTGGTTAGTTTTTTTCCCCCTCCATCTGTATTTCGGGGCAGTGGGAGCAGACGCTGACCTCTCTAGGTCAGTGTGAGCTGATCATTAAGACTCAGATGTAGGGAGATTGTATGTTGTGATGAAAGCATTGAATCTGAAGTCAGATGACCTGGGTTTAAATCCTAGTTTTGTCGTTTACTATCTATATGATCTTAGGTATGTGACTTATCTTCCCTATGCCTCAGTTTCTTCATGTCTAAAATGAGTAGTTTGGATTAGATGGCCAAATCCAACACCCTCATTTTATACATGAGGAAGGTGACAGGGAAGTTAAATAGAGGCATCTTAGAGGTCTTTTAGTTCAACCTGAGCTTTTATTCCCCATCTGTAAAATGGAAATAATAACTGTAGTATTTACCTCATGGGATTAGTAGAATCAAAAAAGATCATGTATTTATACACGCTATACTGTGTGGCTCAGTGGATAGAGCTCCAGGCCTGTAGTAAGGAAGACCTGAGTTCAAATCTGGCCTCAGACACTGTGTGACCCTAGGCAAGTCACTTAACTCTGTTTACCTTAGTTTCCTTATCTATAAAATGAGCTGAAGAAGGAAAGGACAAACCAACTCTTGTATCTTTACTAAGAAAACCCCAAATGGGATTGTAAAGAGTTGGACATGACTGAACAACAAATAACTGTCTTAGTCAACTATTTATATAATCCTGAAGAGGAAGTGTAGTGTACTAGATAGCACACTATAGTCATGAAGACCTGAATTCAAGTCTTACCTCTGACACATGTTGGCTCTGGAACCCCAGGCTGTAACTTCTCAGTGTCAGAAAACTATAAGTGGCAGAAGAGTTGCTAATCTGTGGTAGGTGGAGGGAATTTCTGCACAGGAAGCTCCCTAAACCTATGGTAGCAGATATCTCAATAAACCCCTTCTCACTCCCAAATTCCTATTATTGCCCTACGTAGTTAACACTTACCTAAGCAAATGCTGCTAGTCATGCTTCCTCTGGGACTCTAAAATAGTCTGATCCCAAGTAATCCAAAAAGAGACAAAAGATAACATGGTCTTTCCCTGGAACGAGTCCCATGCTCTGTCCCCACAATTCACCCTGAGGATGTGGAATGGGCCTGGCTATACCCTTTTAAAGAAGGGCAGCATAGGAGTTGCAAAGGTTGCTTACAGTCTTAGCCATTTGGAAAGTCTCCTGATCATTCCCTGGGGTTTCAGTTTTTCAATTCTGTTTATTTATTCTACTCCCATTTAAATAAGATCTAATTAATTTCTGTGTCCTTCCTCAGGAAAGGTCATAGGATGTCCAAAGATACAGCGTTTTGGGTACGTACATATTCCCAACAAGATTACAAAGCCTTGCTCTACACACACCCACACCATCATCATCGTCGTCATCATCATCATCATCATCATCATCATCATCCATCATAACCAGGCACTACTAGACAGGCAAAAAATCCTGAAGCAGCTGGGGTGATCTAGTTGTTGTGGGATTCTCAGAGTTAGTGATACCGTACACCATGGTCTAGGCTTTAGGTCCTGATCATCTATACTAGCCCTATCTTTGGGGCCTTTGATGGGACAATAGAAAGTAACACTTGGGAAAGCATGGGAGAGATAGAACTGGACCATTTGGGACGAACTGAAAGCCCCAGGCCTCCCAAACACAGCTGTACTCGGAACACTGGGACTGCATTTTCCATATAGTGTTCTTGGCCACATGGCTCCATGGTACAAGAAGCAAAAGTCTCACCTCAATGAGAGATCAGAGCAAAGCTCCTCACCCAGATCTGTCTCACAGGGGTGGGTGCAGTATGATTGAGACTCCTCTGAGCAGGAATCCAATCCCAGGTGTATGGGGAAAGGAGTTATGTGATGGCAATCCCAAGAGGAGAAACCAAGGTCAGCTGGAGCCGATAGGGTTGTCCTAAGAGTCCTGGAGTATGAGGGTGAAAAGAAACTCGCAGAGGATGGAACATTTAAGTTCAGGCCCCTACTCCAGGTGGAAAGAGCACAGAAACTGAAGGAAAAGGTGCAAAGGTCAGTAGTTTGTCTTCATAGTAGGCTCCAGAAAATACAAAAAGGGTAGAGGCAATGACTGGAGTGTCTCTTAGAACAATGAAAAATAAAAAGGAAGAAGTGTAAAACAAAAGCTATAGTGAATGCTGGAAAAAGAATAAAAACAGGGGGCAGCTAGGTGGCACAGTGGATAGAGCACTGGCCCTGGAGTCAGGAATACTTGAGTTCAAATCTGGCCCGAGACATATAACATTTACTAGCTGTGTGACTCTGGACAAGTTGCTTAACCCCAATTGCCTAGCTAAGAAAGAAGGGGGAAAAAAAAGAATAAAAACAGACATTTATAAAGTTCTTTAGGATTTGCAGAACACTCTATCTGCATTTTCTTATTTAATTTGACAAGATGTTTTTATAGGAGCTAAATAGATTCATACCCATCCACCTGCCAACCTTCAGCCCTTAGCAAGGGCCACAACAGAGAGGCAAGGTTATACTGTAACAGTCCTGAGGACATAGTCTTTGAAAGCTCATGGGACTTGCTTTTGGCAGATTGTCTCTGTTCCCTGACTTAGCTTACCTCTATTCATGGGTACTTACCCTGCCAATTCCTAAAATTGTTCCTTCCCCACTATAAGATATGGGCACACCACACCTGGTCCACATAAGACCCCTGCCACAAAGCAGATGGTACTTGATGTGATTCCTAACCTGCTTCCTGTATGATTAGCTAGCTTTCTGTTAACTGATTGACTTACAATTTTGTACAACAATTAGTTAAGCTATATGACCTGACTGGCTTGCTTGTAACAGGACTGCAGGAGACCACAACACCATAAAGAAAAACAACCTTGAGAGACTTAAAAAAGAACCCTGATCAATGCAATGACCAAGTGTGAGCCCAGAGGGTCAAGGATGAAGCATGCTAACCACCTCTGACAGAGTGGTGACAAACATGAGGTAAAGAATGAGATATATATTTTCAGACAGAGCTAATGTGAGTGCCTATTTTGCTTATTTGTTATAAGAGAAGGTTCATTGTTGTTATTGTTTTAGGTTGGAAGGGTGGGATTTGGGAGGGAGGGAGCTTAGTGGCAATGGTGCCAAAAATTTTATCTAAAAGAGTGTCATTGAAGCATTTATAAAAAATGCACAAAATAGATCAGAGGAAGTTCAGAGGGAGACCGAAAAGCAGGACAGCTTTGAAATGAACATGTTAAATTTATTATACATCTTTTTTTAAAAAGTAAGCTATACCTAATGGAGATTCGAAGTTCCATATATAATCCCCTTTTTTATGTTCTTTGTACATGGAAAGCTTCATTTATTGGTGTCTGTCAAGTTCAGAATAACAAAAACAAGAATTCTTAAAATGAACAAACAAACCATTACTGCCCAGTGTGCCTTGATTTGAGGGATTCATTTGGAGCTCTCTGTAATGCCTATTTAGGATTGAATTACTTGGAAATGATAAAGGTCATTTGGATCAAGTCTGTGACTTTCAGTGATTGAGGCTTTTAAAAACTACATTAAAAAAAAAAAAAGACAAGCACATTCATCCAATCCCTGGGGCTGTCTCTTAGCTTGATGGCAGCTCCTTTCCATGCATGGTGCTGATGTGCAAAGAGCATTGTGCTATGACATCAGAGGTGTGACACTCTCAAGCTGCTGTTAAGACTGGAGCCCCTATTGCTGTTGGGTTGTTCAAGGCTGTAATCAGAGCAGAAGCCCATTCACACTGTCCTGGTTTGCTGAGGGCACAGACCAATATCTTTTGGTGACGGTTCCTACACTAAAAAGAGGAGTTGTAAGGGTTCAGATGAGTGAATGCCTGCAGTGAGAATGTTCCAGTTTAGTCTTCCTGCCAATCAAGTCCCTTCTTGGCTCAAATCCAAACTTTGAGTATAAGTCCTATTGGAACAGCAGAGCTGACGCAGTTAGCACTTGATGCCTCAGTCAAACTGGTATAGCCACTACCACCACCACCATCACCTGGAGGGAAAGGTCTTTGAAGGGGATACTGTTACCACACTGCAGAAGTGAGGGTATCTGACCTGGAGAAGCACCAAAAAATATAGCCCTGGGTACTGTACCTGCCTCTTCTACTCATTGACTGGCTGCAAGGTAGCCAACAAAATACAGAGAGAGGGAGAATTTCTGGGTTGATGCTTGTTAGGCTTCCTGTTCTATTGCTACTGTAGATCTGTTTATTTTGGTGAGGCAATTGGGGTTAAGTGTCTTGCCCAGAGTCACACAGATAGGAAGTGTTACGTGTCTGAGGCTGGATTTGAACTCAGGTCCTCCTGACTCCAGTGCCAGTGCTCTATCCACTGCACCACCTGACTGCCCCAGAGCTGTTTATTTTGAAAAGGAAGAAGTCAGATGAGATGTCTGCATGACAGAACAGTTCAGCTACCTGGGTTTGTTCTCCTTGGGCAACTTTCCCTGTGTTTCTGTATGTTCCCCTAGTATGTGTGTCTGGGAAAGTTTTGTGTGTCAGGCTATTCTGTGAACTGCCTGAGGTTCCAGGAAAAGAGAACATCAAAAGTTTTGGCCAATGATGAATCTGTGTCACCAGGTCAGCAACGGAGTGCCCTGAAAAACGCCAGAACCCTTCTCTTTGCATGTACTTGAAAACATGTGCTGATCTCCCCAGTCCTAAAAAAGTTTTCTTTCTACCCTTCTACCTCCTTGAAGTATTTTCTAATCTCTCTCCTCCCTTTCACCACCAAACTTTTTGAAAAAGTAATCTGTATTTTCTGAACCAAAAATCAGCACACACACATATATATATTTACAATCTACCAAAGGATTTCTTTTCCTATAATATACAGTCCTCTTGGTATTTGGAGATTAAAGTCTGTGAGTTCTAGTTATTGAGAATTTCCAGTATAGAGGATTTTCCCTGGAGATGTCTGGTTCAAGTTAACTCCTTACTAATAGGATTAAAAGATATGGCCTTTGTTTTGGCATTGAGGATGTTAAATTTCCTTACCCCGAGTACTCTTTGGCTCTTTGAAACCACCATAAGGGCATTGTCTCAGACAAACAGAGACCTGGGAAAGACCTTAGATTAAAAAGGCCAAGGTCTCCAACTGCATCCGGGGCCACCTCCAGTTGTCCTGACCTATATCTTGCCACTGGAACCAGATGGCTCTGGAGGAAAGAGTGAGGCTGGTGACTTTGCACATCCCTCTCTCACTTAAATCTAATTCATGTACAAGTCATGACATCACCTTTCTGATGTCATGATCCTCTTCAAGAAAATAACAAGGGTGATTGACTGATTCATGGACAATTCACACTACTGGGGCTAAGCCTTTAGATTTAACCTTTGTAAGGGAGTCAGAGAGACAGAGAGAAACAGGACTAAGAAATTCAGAGAAGGGCTACAGAGACTCACACTTGGCTCCTTGATCTATGAAGCTGCTCCAGGGAATCATGTGACTCCCAGAAGAAAAGGAACTATGTGGCAGCAGCAGAAAAATACTGGGTCCAAAGAAGAGGAGTTACTGAATCAGGTAGGAGCAGCAAGGGAACCACAAAGATGTTTGCATCTGGACCTTGCGTTCCACTAACGTTGAATTATGTGGATATTACAGGACTAGGAGGAGAATGGAGGATCAATGCTGTAGTGACCCCCAGTACCTTCCCATTGTCATGGAACCTCAATCTTAGGTTAATACTGGACAGGAGGACCATAGAGATCCCTGGAGAAAATAGACACCCACCAAAGAGGGAAGGAGAGTCAACTTGATTTTATATGATTTTATATGATGGACTGCATGAAAGTCATTTGGGTTTCATATTTTCGTTTGGGTAAAGTAAAGCTCATTCTATATTTTATGTATAGCCTGAGGGTTTATATGGCAAGCCTTGGCTTGTTTTGGCTTGAAAAATATGACCCTTTTTAAAGAGACCTGGACAAAAGCTATATTCTGATGTTCCCTAGGGAAATTAAGTGGGATCTTGCAACAAAAAGTGAGATATTTATGAGAATCTCTCAGAGTTTAATCCAATTTGTGTAAACCCAGGGCTTCCATTCTGGGCTATTAATTATAATAGTTTCTCAAAGGTCCTGTTGAACTTTATTTTTTTGGTTTTTTTTGTTTGTTTGTTTGTTTTTGGTTGGGCAATGGGGGTTAAGAGACTTGCCCAGGGTCACACTGCTAGTAAGTGTTTTATATCTAAGGCCGGATTTGAACTCAGGTCCTCCTGAATCCAGGGCCGGTACTCTATCCATTGTGCCACCTACCTGCCCCCATCCTGTTGAACTTTAGAAAGAGACACATGTCCCTCCTTCTCCGAGTTGTCTAGGTTGAATTTGGAGAGCATTCCAGAAATGAGCATCAGCTACTATTGTAGTCTTTATAGTGATAATACCAGCAGCATCAATGATGTAGTAGCTGACATTAACATGGGTAAAGTAGAACCTTCCTAGCTTTATCCCATACTACTAATACTCCAGTCAATTGTGTGTCTCACAATTCATCGTGCTCACCCAGCTCTTTCCCACCTTAATGCCTTTGCTTAAGCTATTCTACTCTTAAAATGCCTTCCCTGCCACACCTGTAAATCTTTAACTGTTGAAATTCTATCCAACCCATAAAACAGCTCAAATGTCATTTCCTCCTTAAAGCCTCTTCTGAGCCAGTCAGTCAGAAATTTGTTTTCTTTCCATGGATTCACATAGCATTTCATGCCTCTCTTACGCAGTTCTCAGGTTCCATTTTGAATTATAGCTGTTTGTGAGTGGTCCCACCTCGAACACATTCTGGTTGTGTGGCCTAGACAAGTCAGTTGCTTAACCTCTCTGTACTTTAGGCAATTGTGTCAGACTATACATTGTAAAATAGTAGAAGGAGTTTTCTCACCAAGCACATTCTAATAAGGAAGTTCTTAAATTGGGGTTCATAAACTTCCAAGAGTTTTGTGGCTAGATTTTATGGGATCCCTGAACCTGAATGAGAAAAAAATTACTTCTTCATTTTCACTAACATTTAACTGAAATTTAGCATTTCCTTCAAGTATAAATGTTTAAAAAATGAAAACAAACAAACAAAAAACCCCACATTATTCTAAAAAGGGATCCATAAGATTCAATGGATTGCCAAAGGGGTCCACAGCACAAAACAAATTAAAAACTCTACCCTAAACCAATGAAATCTCCCATCTAGACCATCACCACCGCCACCACCAAAAAAAGTCTTTTATGTGTCAGTCATTATCCCTCTACTAGACCTTAAGTCTATGAGGTCAAAAAGTATCTTATATAATCATTGTATCTTATCTACCTCAGTGTCTTTTATAGTTTTTCAGTTGAATTGACTCAAACAAAATATCCACAAACAAGTCACACAACCCAATGAGTTGTATCAATTGAGCCAGTATCAAAGATAAAGGGCATTTTTAATAAGGTACTGATGAAGCATCCATGTTAAATGCCTATGGTCAACTAATTCCATGGGGTTCTTGGTGGAGATAACACCTTTACAAAACTTGACCTTATCATGAGCTTCCCAGAAATTGATTAACATTGATGTTTGTGCAGACCTCCAATCCTCCCATCAATGGGAATTCTGAAGGAAGGAAACTTCTCCAATTTATTGCCGTTACTGTTACCAGATTTTGCAATGCTTCATGGAAACTAGGCCTTCTAAGATTCCAGAAGTAGTCCTTTTTTTTAAAAAAAGTTTTAAAAGAAAATTTTAAAAAATTTTAAAAAAATCTTTGTTGATATATTTCATTTCTTCATCACCTTTATTTCCAAATATTATCTTTTCTACCTCCCCTATGCAATGAGCCAGCCTTTGTAATGGCAGCTAGGTGGTGCAGTGGATAGAGCAATGAGCCTGGAGTTAGGAAGATCTAAGTTCAAATTTGGCCTCAGACACTTACTATCCCTGGGCAAATCACTTACTCGCTTTCTGCCTCAGTTTCCTCAAATGAAAAGT